AGAATTCAAAATGTTCAAACTTCTACAAAACATAATTTTCATTTAACAGTTAAATTTTTAATTATATAATCATTCTGTATTTAGTTCTTTTTTTTTTTATTTATTAAAATCTATATAAACCCTCAGAAAAATCCTTTCTATTTTTATATGGAATTAACTGTTTTGTTAGAAATCAGTTCAAACCTATCTTTCTGTTCGATCGAACTTGCGAAAGCCTTCTCTCTTTGTCTATCAGTAATCTGTCTCACATCTATCTTTGTAATTTTTCTCAATTCCAATAAACAATCATCTAATCAGTCCAGGACCGATTAGATCTTTCTTTGTGCATTTTTTTTATTTTCTTTAAGGTGAGAGAGATTCACAACCTGTAATAATCTTTACTTTATGTAATAACCTTTACTAACTCTCATTTCCGCTAACTCGGCGACTTCATGGTCGGTTGTTTGTCGATTGGTATTCATAATTGTGATTCATTTACTTGAATTATTTATGTTGTAATTCCAGATACCAAAAGTTTCTTCATTGAAATATTATGCTGTTGCTAAAGGAAGAAAAACTGGAATTTTTTTATCATAGAAAGAATGTGAAGAATATGTAAAAGGATGTCCTGGAGCTTTGTATAAATCATTTTATACAAGGATCGAGGCACAAGATTTTATAGATCAACAAAATATTGAAGTTAAAGATAAGTTAAATGTTTGGACTGATGGATTCTGTAAAAGAAATAGATTATCAGATGCTGTTGGAGGTATTGGAGTTTTTTTTGGAAATAAAGATCCGAGAAACCTGTCTGAATGACTTCCAGGCAAACAACAAACTAATAATCGTGCAGAAATATATGCAGCAATTAGAGCTCTCGAAATCTGTGACAAAAATAAAAATTTAATAATTAATACTAATAGTTTCTATGTTATTAATTCTCATAATATTAAAAAACCTAAAAAAAAATTTTGATTTAGTCAATAGATTTAACGATTTAATCAAAGAGCGTAAAGGCAAAACATATTTTAAACATGTGAAAGGACATAGTGGTATTTACGGAAATGAACAAGCCGATAGGTTAGCATATTTAGGTTCAAAAAACCCGGCTATTGAATTGACTTTACCAGAACGTAAAAATACTATCAAAAATTATTTCAAATAATTTTGTATTTTTTTTTATTATTATTTTTTTTTTAATAAATATATATTTTAAAGAATCAAAATGCGATTCGTATTGGCGACTAGGAGGTGAGGTGCCTAGTCATAAATTCGAATCAAAATTTTGATTCGCTTACACTAAATATAAAAAAACACAATTCAACACAACCGACCATAAGCAATTGCGAGGCTAGCGGCAGCTAAAAAAAAAAAGAGCATCGCAGAGACAAAAGTTTAATTTAATTATATCTAAATCAGTTATAAAACCGATTAGTTATTTTTTTATGTAATTTAAAATATCTTTGAGTAATTCTGATTCTGAAACTCAAGAATCAGTTATTGATAAAAAGTCAAAAAAGAAGCAAAGTGCAAATTTCACGTGGTTCAGAGAGAATGAAAAAACAAATTTTCAAAGACCAATCATGTTTCCTGATGATGAAGGCCATATAACCGAATATATTCAAATCAAATTGAGTGATATTATTTATTATTAAAAAATAATATAACAACTTCTTTTTCTATTCTTGCAAATACAAAAAAAATTAAATATAATCTAAAATAAATACTGATAATATTAACAAACAAAACTTCAATGATATGAATTCTTTTCATTTCTGTTAAATTTACATATGAAATAACAAACACAGACCAAAGAAACTTTCTTATAAATTATAAAAAAAAATATATATTTTATTATATAAAAATAAAATTTTATAAAAAAAAAA